TTCATTACAGCCAAAAGTAGACACAGTGTTTAAAGTATGTCAATGTATTCCCCAAATCTTCACCCTTCCTTCTGACCCATTTCCAATTTGTTTCCAGTTCTGGCTATGTGTGGTTTCTTGCTCAGTCCTCCTTAAAGGAACAAACAGTAGGAAGTTTTGAAATGTTCTCAACAATTGTCTGTATAAATATTTACAACTCTTGAGGCTTTCTGGACAAAGCAATCAATTAAGCCAGTGCCTTCGGAGAAACTGAAGTTATACAACCTAAAATAAATCCAGGGCACCTAGGGGTTTGCTGAAATGAACAACACATAAACCCTCAAGCCTTTGATCTTAATTCAAAAGTCTGCCACTAGACCAGGGAATGTGTCCACTTTTTGTTTACAAACTTTCCTAAGAACTCTGGACATTACATTCTGTTCCTTTTACTTAAGTAAGTTGGAGCCAAAATTTTAAGAGGCTCAACACAGGCCATCTATCCTGCCTCCTGGCCTTTGAGCATCCACCCCTTCAGCCAGAACCTCCCCACAACAACCAGACCCCTTCCCAAAGCTCCAACTCCCACCTAGTCATCCTAGCACGGCTCCCGGGCTACCCACCTCCTCTGGCCAGCCAACCATCCTTCCTGCATGTAGCCTAAACCAAGTGACCAGCACTTAGCATCTATTATAATTGTCGATTTCTTTTTCACCTAATTTGTAGTTAGAATTTATGTAGTAATTACTTTTTAACCTAATTTGTATTTGAAATTGATTTAGTAATACTTATTTATGGAAAACTTGCATTCTTGAGCTTTAAACTTGGCAGCTTGTTTTACAATCTTCAGAGTGGTTAAAAAAAAAAATGGGCTTTGAGCTAATGTGGGTTTGGCACTGAGCTCTAGCAGTAAAGGCCCTGTGTCCCTGAACGTCCTATCTTTGGGACAATTTTATCATTTGGAAAATAAAGACTGGCTTCACTGTGAGGCGTAAAGCGTGGAAATGCAAAGTATACCACCTGGCCAAGTTTATGATCAACAGGTTAGCTCGGGTCACATTTCTCACCAATGATTTGATTTAATCAAAAGAAGAGAAAGAAAATTGTTAATTGATTATGAACTACCAACACTTCCTAATGACATACATCTTCACTTACACTCAAATTAATCTGTATTCTGGCGAAAGTCCTCGCCCTACATGCGCCAGAATCCCATGTGGGTGCTGGTTCATGTCCCAACTGCTCTATTTCCCATCTAGCTCCTTGCCTGTGGCATGGGAAAGCAGCAGAGGATGGCCCAAGGTCTTGAGATTCTGCACCCACATGGGGGACTCTGAAGAGGTCCCTGACTCCTGGTTTCCTATTGGCTCAGCTCTGGCTGTTGCAGCCACCTGAGAAGTGAATTAACAGATAGAAGATCTTTCTGTCTGTATATCCATCTCTCTGTAAATTTGTTCTTTCAGTAAAAAAGTTCTTTAAAAAATCAACCTATAGGGCCCCGCGCGGTGGCGCAAGTGGTTAAAGGTCCTCACCTTGCACGCCCGGGATCCCATATGGGCGCCGGTTCTAATCCCGGCAGCCCCGCTTCCCTTCCAGCTCCCTGCCTGTGGCCTGGGAAAGCAGTCCAGGACGGCCCAAAGCTTTGGGACCCTGCACCCGCGTGGGAGACCCGGAAGAGGCTCCTGGCTTCGGATCGGCCTCTCTGTCTCTCCTCTCTGTATATCCGCCTTTCCAATGAAAAAATAATAAAAATAAATCTTAAAAAAAAAATCATCCTATAATTCATATGTGTTACCTGTTGCTCTCTACCTATTAACAAAATATATCTGAAATGGTGTGGGAAAGTTTCTGACTCCTTCATAATACTCTCATAAATAAACTCATGTTTGAAAAACAAAAAAGGAATGTTGGCAAAATTAATTGTAGAGCAATGTTACCGAATGTCTTAATCTTTAGAAATTGGTAACTTTAGTTCATCCAAATCCTAAGCATCAAATTTAAAATGGCTTAGAGAGTATTTTGAAATAATTTACAAAGTAACTGCTGAGCTAGTAAAGAATCCAGTAATCCAGCTGAGTGTTTAAACCCTTCTCGGGATCTTTATATGGGAGCCAAGGCACTTATCAGCTGATGGCTGATAAATTTAACCAGGGAAACACCCCCTACCAGACAATGCAAACAGAGATTCTAAGTCTTCAACTGGGGATCATTCAGAATCCCAAGAAATGGTCCCATGTCCTTGTATTTGCCTTTGGAGGCAAGCTAAATGTCTCTCCAGTGCCACAGAATTCAACAAGGGGATGTTCTCTCAGAACTCATCTCAACTCAGAATAAGCTACCATACAAAACCATATCAATGGTGTATTTTTTCGTCTCTTTCAAAAGCCACTCTCAGTAATGTAGATACACCAAGATGGAAACGTATTCTTGTCCTTGAAAGTGTCAGTTTGGACTTTATTTGCAAAATGTAATATTTTAAGCCATCACTCACATGTTAAGTAGGCAGTAATTTATTGCTGAAACCAAACAGTTGAGAGAAACGGAATAGAAGATGAGAGCTGTTAGTGGGGCCGAGGATCACACACACATACACACGCCACGTTGGGAAAAGGAAACTGGCATAATCCTGGTTTGGGGAGTTTTGAATTCATTCAGATTCCAAATCCAATTACAGCAGTGTAAGCCATCTCAGTTCTTGGAATTGGTGTACATTTTATAATTAAAATTTTAAATGCTTTTTGAAAAGTACCTAATTTCACAGGGTTTTTAAAAAGATTCAATGATGGGGTTAACATAGCAAGTTAAGCCCCTGCCTGTAATACCAGCATCCCATATAAAGTGCTAATTTGAGACCCAGCTGCTAACGCAAGCCCAGGAAAGCAGCAGTAGATGGCTCAAGTGCTTGGGCCTCTACACCTATGTGGAATATTCAGAAGAAGCTCCAGGCTCTTGGCTTTGGCATTCTACAGCCTCATCTTCAGCTACTGTGGCCATCTGAGTAAACCAGTGGATAGATCTCTCTCCCCACCCCCAACTCCCTCTTTAACTCTGCCTTTCAAATAAATACAAAATAAATCTTATAAAAAAAATTCAAGGGTTCAATGTGGTAGACTAACAGCTAAAGTCCTCACCTTGAAGGTGCCCAGATTTCATATGGGTGCTGGTTCTAATCCCAGCAGCCCCGCTTCCCTTCCAGCTCCCTGCTTGTGGCCTGGGAAAGCAGTTGAGGACAGCACAAAGCCTTGGGACCCTGCACCCATGTGGGAAGTCCTGAAAGAGGCTCCAGGCTCCTAGCTTTGGATTGGCTCAGCTCTAGCCGTTGTGGCTACTTGGGGAGTGATTCAGTGGACAGAAGATCTTCATGTCTGTCTCCTCCTCCTCTCTGTATATCTAACTTTCCAATAAAAAAATAAAAATATCTTTAAAAAAATCAACTGGAAGGTATAGGCAGCTAGTCTAGTAAGATGTTAATGCGTCATGTTGGAGTATCTGGGTTCATAACCTGCCTCTTACTCCTGGCTCCAGCTTCCCACTGGTACAGATCCTTGGTGATAGCAGGCGCTGGTTCAAACAGTTTGGCTCCTGAGCCCCTTGTGAAAGACCTGGATTGAGTTGCTGGCTTCATCTAGTGCAGCCTTGGCCACCACAGGTACATGGAGAATGAACCAGCAGATGGGAGTTATCTGCCTTCCTATCTCTTAATAATGAAACGTTTTGGTTAATGATAGGATCGAACGAGAACATACTACATAATCCTTTTCACTAGGAACCTCAATACCAGTGTTTAAAAATGTCATCTCCTGGTGCCGGAACCATGGCATAGTAGGTTAAGTCTCTGCCTGCAGGAATGGCATCTCATATGGGTACCAGTTTGTATCCCGGCTCCTCCACTATTGAATCAGCTCCCTGCTAATGTTTTCTGGAAAGCAATGGGAAGATGGTTCAAGACCTTGGGTCCCAGGGGAAGCTCCTAGCTCCTGGTTTTGGACCAACCAAGCTCTAGCCATTGTGGCCACTGGGGGTGTGAATCAGTGAATGTAGGATTTCTCTCTTTCCTTCTCTGTAAATGTGCCTTTCAAACATAAACAAACATCTTCTAAAAAATGCTATCTCCTTAAGGAGGTTTGATACTGTTTTATTACTATAACTTAAATAAATTTTATCAAAAACAATTTTAGTCACAATATGATAATAGCAAAGCAGTGGAATTAACACTAAAAACTGTTTCTGGACCAAGACCTAGTCAAACTGAAGTTCCAGCTCTTGCTATCTTTACATTTAATAAGTTATTTTATGTTATTAAAAGATTTATATTATTTAAAAGGCAGAATGATGTGAGGCGGGAAGGCAGGCAATAGGAGAGAGTGAGACCTTCCACTCACTGGTTCACTCTCCAACTGGCTGCAACAATTGGAGCTGGTCGTCCTCACGGGTGGCAGGGGCCCAGGCACTTGGACCATCATCAGCTGCCTGCCCAGGCACATTAGCAGAGAGCTGGACTGGAAGCAGAGCAGCTAGAACTCATATTGGCTGATATGAGATGCTGGTTTTGCAGGTGATGGCTGGCCCAGGAAGTCATTTATCATGAATAAATGTTCACATACAGTTGTAAACATGCAATGTTTGGACTCTTGAGTTCTCAACATGGTGACTGATACTCCTTAGATGTTAACTTTACCATTTGAGTTTCCAAAACAAATACATTTTCCAGCTGTACTGAACATCTTGAACTTTGGTTAGTTAGCATGTAATAAACCCCAGTGCTAACTAGAGCCTCCTTCCAACAGAGAGAGAGGAGGACAGTCCCTTTCCCTGCTCCTTCCTGGGGCTCTGACATAACTAGTGCTACAAATAATCCTGCAGAGTCCTGGCAGCCTGCTCCCACAGCAATGTCGGGGGGAGGGGGTGCCAGCTACACATTCCCCATTCAGCAAACTCTTTTTCTTGTTAAGTCAATGTTCTATAGTTTCTAAACAAAAATCCTAGCTGGTATATTTTTTAAAAAGTAACACATTAGAAGAACATCAGTTGTTATGAAAATTATTTTAATATGTTTTTCTCCATGAATGAATATATAAAGACAATGGAAGTAATGCATTCTTCTGCTGTAAAGACGGGTGGAATATATCAAAATCTACTCGCTGAATTTTCTTTAAATAATCCTCTAGAGAAACCTGGAAAAACAAAATAGTGGTCATTAGGTCATATAATGATCAAATTTTTAAAGGAAACCTAAGAGTAATAACAAATATTAAAGCTATTTTAGTTTCCCTGAAATGGTCTTCTACTTACTAAGAATTCAAGCAATAATTTTTAAAGAGAAAATGAAGACATCTGATTAGTTTCTACGGGACTCAGAAAAACCAAAGTGACTACTAAAGAAAATAAGCCTTTTCTGCTTATAATACAAAATGTTCTTGTCACAATACAAAGGCTAATTATGTTTGTCTGACCTTATCTCTAGATTCTGTGGAATACAGAAAGGATGTTTCAATCAGAGAAAACAACTCCCCCTCACCACGATCACTGCCAAACACAGTGTGCCACAAGAGGGAGCTTGTGCTGTTTTAAAAATTGCTTTTTGTGGGGCCCAGCATGATGGCTCAGTGGCTAAATCCTTGCCTTGTATGTACCAGGATCTCATCTAGGTACCAGTTCATGTCCCAGCTGCTTCACTTCCCATCCAGCTCCCTGCTTGTGGCCTGGGAAAGCAGTCAAGGACGGCCCACAGCCTTGGGATGCTGTACCCACATGGGAGACTTGGAAGCTCCTGGCTCCTGGCTTCAGATTGGCTCAGCTCTGGCCACTGCAGCCACTTGGACAGTGAGCCAATGAATGGAAGATCTTTCTCTCTGTCCTCTCTGTAAATCTGCCTTTTCAATTAAAAAAAATTGGTTTTTTTTTTCTTGTTAAAATGTTCAGTAGATCTCCCCGTTCTTGCTAAACATCTAAACATGATTTGCACCTTGGGGAGAGTAATCACAGGGCCCCCTAAATATCACTCCATGCTTCTGCCATCACATAAGACTTCTCAAAGTTGTTGTAAGAACAGGCACAGGAGGAAAACACTGACAATCCATAGTACTTTTTGTTCTCAGCTATTTTATTAATTTACAGATTTTTACTTATTAGATTACAAATTTTTGGTTATTAATTTTCTAACAGGCAGGTTAACACAGTTTTGCATAATTAAGAAGCACTACCCCGTCTTCCAGCACATGCGTGGCGCCCCCTAGAGTTCTACAGCAAAGAATGTGGTGGGGTGCAGAGAGGAGGCTGAATTAACTCTGGAGACTTGGACATAAGGATGAGAAAAAGCAAAACAACAAGTATCATATCTTCTCCCAGAAGTTTCTACCATAAAATTATAAATATATGAGTAGACAAACTCAGTACCTACTTATTAAAACCCGAAATTTATTTATCAGTGCAAAAGATATTATGTGCAGGAATCTATGCTGCTATGTTTCTCATTTTTTCCTTTTTATTTATTTTTATTTTAGTTGAAAGGCAGCGAGGCAGAGACAAAGACCAACAGAGAAAGATCTTTCATCTGCTGATTTGTTCACTCCCCAAATGCCCTCAAACAGTCAACGCTGGGCCAGGCTGAGGCTAGCAGCCAAGAGTTCAAACTGGGTCTCCTCCCACATGGGTACAGGGGCCCAAATATGCTGTGCGTTACCAGAAAGCTAGAGTCAGAAACAAAGCTGGGACTCGAACCCAGGCACTCCAACATGGTACATGATTATCTCAAGCAGTGTCTTAACCACTGTGCCAAATGTTATTCCTACTTTGTTAGCAATATATATATAAATATATATGTATACATATATATAGCAATATATATGTAAATTATTGAACAAAAAACTTAATTGTTCATACAATGAAAGATTACAGCCAGTGAAACAGAAGTACATCATATATGGCAGTTGCAGTAACATGTCCAAGTCCTAGAAACATTAAGAATGTGTATGTGTCCCGTAAGACACATAGAAATGATTCATTTTTATATAAAGCTCTAAACAAAACTAACATATCGCTTAAGAATATCTAAATTGGGCCCGGCGCGGTGGCGCAAGTGGTTAAAGGTCCTCGCCTTGCATGCCCGGGATCCCATATGGTTGCCGGTTCTAATCCCGGCAGCCCCGCTTCCCTTCCAGCTCCCTGCCTGTGGCCCGGGAAAGCAGTCCAGGACGGCCCAAAGCCTTGGGAACCTGCGCCCGCGTGGGAGACCCGGGGGAGGCTCCTGGCTTCGGATTGGCATAGTATCGGCCCATTGCGCTCACTTGGGGAGTGAATCATTGGACGGAAGATCTTCCTCTCTGTCTCTCCTCTCTGTATATCCGCCTTTCCAATAAAAAAATAATAAAAATAAATCTTAAAAAAAAAAAAGAATATCTAAATTGTAGGAAGCTTTTTAGAACACTATAGAACAATGAATCCAAAGTTTAGGATATCTGTCTGCAAGAGGAAGGCAGAGGCAGGGAGTGGGACGCAGACAACACAGAAATGCAACTTAACAGTGGCCTTGCTCCTCGAGTGGTTTACTACGGTTGGCTTTCTAAGTATCTATATCCATCTATATATTCATGTATGTGTAATAAATATTCTACTATTTTAGTGTACTTTCATAGTTCTGTCTCTCTCTTTGTAAAGAAGGAGCAGTATGGACGGGCATTGTGAGGCAGTAGTCACCACCTACCATAACAGCAACCCACACAAGTCCTGGCAGCTTCACCCCCAATCCAGCTCCCTGCTAATGCGCCTAGGAAAGCGGGGAAGACGGCCCAAGCACGTGGACCCCTGCCACCCAAGTGGGAGATCTGGATGGAGTTTCAGACTACTACCTTTGGCCTGGTCCAGCTCAGGTCATTGCAGCCATGTAGGGACTGAACCAGCAGATGGAAGATCTCATCTTTCCCTCTCTCTGTAACCGCCTTTCAAATAAATCTTCACAAAAAGGGATGGAGGAGTTAAATTTATTCATGATGTCCTTTGCTTGCTTTTTACCACTTACTGTTATAATCAATCCTGTACAATAATTCTATTCCATTAACTTCAACAGTTATTATTCCATGATAAGGAATCATCAATGAAATTAAGCTACAGACACATGACACAATGTTATATAGTCATTTAGTACTGTATTTATAAAATTTTAAAATAAAATTTATTTACTTTTTTTTGAAAGGCAGTTACAGAGAGAGATCATCTATCTGCTGGTTCACTCCCTAAATGGCTGCAATGTCTCTAGCTGAGCCGATCTGAACCCTGAACCCAGAAGCTTCCTCCAGGCCTCCTAAGTGGGTTCACAGGTTCAAAGACTTGAGTCATTCTCCACTGCTTTCCCAGGCCACAAGCAAGATGCTGGATTGGAAGTAGAGCAGCCGGGACTTGAACTAGTGCCCATATGAGATGATGGCACCAAAGGTGGAAGCATAGCCTACTATGCCATGGCTCTGGCCCTGTAAAATTTTTAATCATGCAGTAAAATGCTTGATAAACAGGAAATTAATATAAAAAATGTGACTTTAACTATAACATTTTAAATTTTTTAATTACAGAATAAACAGTTATCTGTGATAGTTATTTTCTTCCAATTCTCTTTTTGTGTTGTTCAAATCTTTATGAGATGTAGTGCTTTTACAGCTAGAGGAACATGACCTCAAAATCAAACAGAGTTCAACTGGATATATACAAATCAGGATTTGTTTCAAAACAAACTTTGGCTAGTGGGAAATAAATTGTTTAAAGGAAACAGATTAAGAAATTCTCAAGGACATGACAATTGATGAATATAAATTCTTTAAAACTCTGTTATGATAAAAGCATACTATGCCTAGGTGAGTCACTTCCAAATAATTTTGGAACTGTGAAACTTTTTTTGAATAAAATAAGTAGATGATTCTTTTTTAAAAGATTTCTTTTTTATTAGAAAGTCAGATATACAAAGAGGAGGAGAGACAGAGAGGAAGATCATCCGTCTGCTGGTTCACTCCCCAAGTGGCTGCAATGGCCGGAGCTGAGCCAAACTGAAGCCAGGAGCCAGGTGCCTCTTCTAGGTCTCCACACACAGGTGCAGGCTCCCAAGGCTTTGGGCCGTCCTCGACTGCTTTCCCAGGCCACAAGCAGGGAGCTGGATGGGAAGCAGGACACCAGGATTAGAACTGGTGCCCATATGGATTCCAGTGTGTGCAAGGCAAGGACTTTAGCTGCTAGGCTACTGCACTGGGCCAGTAGATCATTCTAATGCGTCAACTGAAAATGAAGCAGCTCTGCTGGAACTGGAGTGAGGTGTGCTATAGAGGCAGTTCCTTGGGATCTGCCACACTGTCCCTGCGCTTTCTCTGGGCACAGGAAGGAAAGGAGAGCCCAGCCCCAGAGTTTGGGATTCAGGAGGTTTGCAGAAGGGCCCAAGATCTTATTGCTAACAAGTTCCCAGATCTAAAAGAGCACTTCCAACGCGGAGTTGCACTCCACAATTACTGGGGAAGCTTTCAAATTAAAATTCATTACTATTATTTATTTACTTATGAAGATGACAGACAAAAAGAAGACATAAAGTTCCCATCTGCCAGTTCTCTTCCCAAATGCCTGCAATGGCTAGGACCAGGCCAAACCAGGATCCAGGAGCTCACACGGATGGCAGGGACACAATCGCCTGAGCCCTTACTGCTGTCTCCCAGAGTGCACGTCGGCAGGAAGCTGGAGTCAGGTATCAAACCCAGGGCTCCAACGCCACATGCAGCCATCGTGCCTGGTAGACTAAATGTCCCTTCCTGAGAAAGGCACATGTCCAGCCTCTCAAGACATTTGGCTCAGCTGTGTGAGGAGGAACCCAAGCATTGGCTGGGTTTTCTTTTTTCAAGTTTCCCAGTGATTGTAATGTATAGTCAGGGCTGGGAACAATCTTTTCCACAGGCGTTAACAAAACAATATCCTTCGCTTACAGACCTATTTACTGTTTTGTATTCTCTCATACATATATTATGAGCCTATCTAAAATAATGATACGTTTCAAAACAAGCAAACTCAATAAACACAATCACTTCAAACACACAGATCTGAAAATTACGATAAAAGATATAAATGGGATAGAAATGCATATTCTTATTTTAGTGAAAAAATATGGAAAATATATTTGGCATTACGAAGACACATGTATCCGTAGTTTAAAAAAGATCACAAATCTTTGAACACTGGTTTCTTTCTATGAAATATACAAAAACATTCATAAGTTTTCCTCTAAAGTGACTACACATAATGTATGAGACAACCTAGGTCAGATCTTGTTACTTAACCAGGTTAAGTAACTGCATCACTTATCATTTCTCCAACCAGAATTCTCCAATCTGTGGCTAACATCAGAATCACTTGTGTAGCTTTTAAAAATTGAGTTCACCAAGGAACTGGCCCCCTCCTCAATCTTGAGAGTCTCATTCTGCAAAAAGATAACTTAAGTCAGTATGTATTATGACAAGTGCAGCCAGCTCAGTAAAGATCTGTGAACTACTGTCACCTAGAAATTACTTTCTCCTGCTTTTCCCATTCTATTTGTAAGTACATTGAGGAACACAGTGGTTAAGAACTTAAGGTCTTGGGGCCTGGCACAGTAGCCTGTTGGCTAAAGTTCTTGCCTTGCAAGCACTAGGATACCCTTCGGGTGCTAGTTTGTATCCCAGCTATTTCACTCTCATTCCAACTCCCTGCTCGTGGCCTGGGAAAGCAGTAGAGGACATCCCAAGATCTTGGAACCCTGCACCAGTGTGGGAGACCTAGAAGAAGCTCCTGGCTCCTGGTTATGTTAGGCTCGGCCATTTGGGAAATGATCCAGCAGGTAGAAGTTGTTTCTCTGTGTCTCTCCTTCTCTCTGTAAATCTGACTTTCCAATGAAAAAAATATATATAATAATAATAAGTAAATCTAAAAAAAAAAAAAAAAAGAACTTAAGGTCTGGGGCTTGTACCATGGTCTATCAGGTTAAGCTTCCACCTACAGCACTGGCATCCCATATGGGCATTGGTTCATGTCCCAGCTGTTCCACTCCTGCCCCAGCTCTGCTAACGGCCTGGGAAGGCAAGGAAGAATGGCTTAAGCTCTTGGGCTTCTGCACCAATGGGAGACCTGGAAGAAGCTTCTTGCACCTGGGTTTGGACTGGCCTAGTTCCAGCCACTGTGACTATTTGGGGAGTAAACCATGAGGCAGAAAGACCTCCCTCTCTCTGTCTCTCTCTCTCTGTAATTCTGCCTTTCAAATAAAAAATCAATAAATCTTAAGAAGGAAGGAAGGAAGGAAAGAAGGAAGGAAGGAAGGGAGGGAGGGAGAACCTAAGGTTCCATGACTAGCAGCGGGTAAGGCAGATTCACCCTAATGCAGTTGGGCTGCAGCCTGTGCTAAAAACAATGCAGTTCCTCCTCCTCTGGGAAGCACAGAAAAGCCCAACAAAATACATCACACAACTAGCAAGCCTACTGTAAGGGAGGGAAATAAACGCAGACTCTAAATTCAAGGAATGTTCTGGGAACTTTACAAAAGACAAAAAAAAAAAAAAAGATCAGCTCATACACATCTGTTTGACTAATCACAGCCTCCTCTGTTAATCTACTTACCGTCTGAAGAAAGGCAGGAAAGGCTTTCACAGGAACACTTCTGTGGAAGGATCTAGCCTAAAAGGAAGAGAAAAGAAAACCAGTCTGAAATAGTTCAACAAATAAACACACTCTCCCTGAAAGTAAACACAAAGCAACACCCATGGTTTAACACAACTACAGTCTCTCTAAACTCCAAGGAAACAGCTTTTCTCTGGATTTTAGTTTCCTAAGCCCAGGACTCAGGAAAATTAAAAATAACCATATTTAAAATTCTATTCATTATGGATTATTAGCCTTGGCATTTTCCAAATACCTTACCACAGATCATAATAATTTTGATCTTCCAGTTCTACAGTAAAGAACAAACAAATGAATGCTTGGATTAACAAGTCCCAGCCCTTCCGCAGGAACAGACGTTGAGCTGAACATAAGATCCTCCTCCGTGATCTTCCTGCCTATATGCTTCCTGATCCAAAATCCATCCTACACGAGTCAGCCAAATGAATGCCCTTATGTCTTCATTTCATTTCTACTTTCTTTAGCTTGACTCCTTGGTAGATCAATTCTCAACTGTTCACAACAGTTCAAAGACCTTCGCAACCTGACTAAGCTCACTGAGCCCCCTACTCCCTGCTGCCCTGGGCAGAACCCACCGCCCTCTGCATCCTCTCTTACAGTTTCCCTTACACCTGAGGAGCACATGCTCACTGCCTTACTCCTGCCTCTCTTTCAACCACTGTACTCTGGTGCTACCCCTGGCTGCCTAAGACCACCTTTCCTCTCCAATCTGTAAAACATCGACATTTCTCTTCTTTGGAATTTTCTCCTTTGGTTTTCAAAATACCAATTCTCAGCTCAATGGTCATTCTTTCCCGCTTCCTTCTACTAAAGGATTCCTTTTTCTTGTACCTGCTAAATGAAGGTAGGTCTCAAACTTCTGCACCTGGTCCTCTTACCCAGAAGGACACGCCCCTTGAGCAACATCGTCCACATTAAGACCTTTAATAGCAGGTCCAAGTGGATGACTCCTAATCTATGATCTCTGGTTGATCTTTGAAAGTCAGGATTTCATTTTTTCAAAGTGCATCTCCCTAGATGTCACATAGTCCCTTAAATTCAATCATGTCCAGCAGCTAGTCTATAGATCTGCATCAGGCATACCACTGTGTTTTTTTTTTTTTCCCCAGAATCTCTGAATGGCACTATCATCCTGTATCTATGAACTTTTTGTATACCATTCAGCTTTACTTGTTTGGATTTCTGATAAAATCCCAGCTCTCAAGTCTAGTGAATTCTACTTCAGTGTGTGTATAGCAGGGAGGTGCCTGGGAGCCAGAAGATGTACATGCATACATGTAATAAACATTTATACTCTCCAAATGAGACTTTTCTCCACACCTAAATAAACATCTTATGATCCCCCAAACCTCCAAACTCTAAAAACACTACTGCCAGTTTCCTACTGTGTCATGCCATTATCATCATTTTACTGGATCATGATGATGATGGAGTTAACTTACACTTCATTTACTATGTGCCAGGTATCAGTATATACCGTTTTAAGTATGTTAATTCATCTATGCAAATAACCCTTTGAGTCAGTGCTACTATAATCCTCACTTACAATCACACAGTAAGGGGCAGGACTAGCATTAAGGTCAGGCTCCTGGTCACAGAGTTTACTCCCTCACTTCACCCACCAAGTTCTTCTATCTCTCAGAAGCCTCCAGAACATATACATTCTTCATTCAATCCACCGCTTCAAATCAATCTTACCACTTGAATAAGATCACTTGGAAATATTAACTCCCAACCAGCTCTACTGTACAATTCCCAGGGAGCGAGGCTAGGGAACATGTACTTCTTAGATGTAATACATGTGCATCAACAGGGACTACCCAGGATCCCCACAGGGGAGGGCATTCCGGCTTCCATTACTCTACAGTCTCCTGAGTCCTAATCTGAACTCTCTTAGTTGTAACCTATCAGCTAAAGCTTCATGTATTTTTTTCAGTGTCTCTGTCAGGCAGAGAACTATGTCACATTCTTCAAGAAGCTCAAAAGGAATTTAAGATGAGATTTTGCCCTCAGAAAACTTTGTAATTTAGGTTTGGCACTGTGGACTACTAGGCTGGGCTTTTGGTGCCAACATCCCACATGGGCTGCTCCATTTCCGATCCAGCTCCTTGTTTATGGACTGGGAAGGCAGCAGAGGATGGCTCAAGTTCTTGGATCCTTGCACCCACATAGTGGACCTGAAGGAGACTCCAGACTCCTGGCTTTGTATTAGCTCAGCTCTGACAACTGCAGCCACTTGGGGTATGAAGCAGCAGATGGAAGATTGCTGTACGTCTCTCCTTTTCTCGGTAACTTTGCATTTCAAATAAAAATAAATAAATCTAAAAACAAAAAGTTTACAATTTAGAGACTGGCACTGCGGTGTAGCAGATAAAGCTGCTGCCTACAATGCCAGCATCCCACCAGTTCATGTCCCAGCTACTCCATTCTGATCTAGCTCCTTTATATCAAATAGCCTGGAAAAAGCAAATGATACAAGTGCTTGGGTCCCTACCACCCACATGGTGATATGGATGAAGCTCCTTGCTTCACTACGCCTCAGCACTGGCTGTTAGGACCAAGTGGGAAATAATCAAAGTACGGAAGATTGCTCTATCTCTCTCTGTAACTCTTTCATCTCATTCTTTCTAAGAATTATTGATTTTTACTTGAAAATCAGAGTTAGAACGAGAGGGGAATCAAAGGAAAATTTTCCATCCCCCGATTTACTCCTCAAATGGCCACAACAGCTAGAGCTGAGCTGATCCAAAGCTGGGAGCCAGGAGCTTCTCCCTGGTCTCCCACATCGGTGCAAAGCTCCAAGGCCTTGGATTACCTTCCACTGCTTTTCTAGGCAATTAGCAGGGAGCTGGATCAACTGCTCTGAGGCATGAATCTGTGCCCACATGGGATGCCAGGCAGAGAATTAGCCTGTCACACCACCATGTAACTCTGACTTTCATATATAAATGTTTAGAACACAATAGTTTTTTAAAGTGTACAATTTGGAGAAGAGGATTTGGTGTACAGGTTAAGATCCCACTTGGGATGCTCACGTGCCACATTCAGGAGCCTCAGTTCAATCCCAGCTCAGTTTCTGATTCCAATTTCCTGCTAGTCACACCGTGGAAAGTAGCAGCTGATGGCTCAGGTGCTTATGTTCCCAAGATACCCACGGGAGACCCTGGTTGGAGTTCCCAGCTCCTGGCTTCAACCTGGTCCAACCCCAGCTATTGCCAGTACTTGCTGAGTAAAGCAGCAGAGGCAATATCTTTCTCTCTCTCTATCTGTTAGTCTGAATTGCAAATAATTTTTTAAAATGAAAAAAATTAATTAAAAATTATAATCTGCTTACTAATTTATTTAGTAAGTAAATGAGTGCCTGTCACATAACAGGCACTTCAGATGCTCAAGAGTACAGCACAGAACCAAGCAAAATCACATTCCATGAAGAGGAAGGCAGTAAACAAATCCTTAATACATCAGGTAGTGAAAAGTACTTATATAAGTAAGGGTAGACTCGTGTGAGAGACCCGTGTGTGTGTGAGCGCGTGGGAGGGTGTGAGTTTGGAAAAAGTGGCCACAAAAGATCTTTCTAATGATAACTAAGCACTGACTACAGTAAGGACGGGGGAGAGAACAGAAAGCAGGAAATAAAGGCCCATGGAGCAAGGCAGAGACACCCTGTACTGAAAGGGGAAAAGGGTGATATGAATGGGGCATAGCAGCCCCTTGGGATGCTCGGGCTAGATTTACCCAGAAAAACGAGCACTCATGTGTTGAGGAAAAAGGACCATGACCAGAAAGGACAGTGACCTAAGTGACTGGGCAGAGAGGGGCTACTCACATGCTTTAAGTGCAAGTGTGCCTGGCTGGCAATGTCATATATCACATCTCTCACATTTTTATCTTGGCTCCTCCGTAGAACATCCTCTTGTGAAACACCATGCTATATGGAAAAATACATATTATATTAGGACACTAACAACTAACTAATTTAACTCAAGAAAACAGCTGACAGCATGTACAGTACAGTGACTGTTTTTTGCTCTTCTGAGGTATACATATGTGTGTGTGTATGTGCGCGCACACTCCTGTACAAGGGACTTTGAGCAAAAAAAAAAAAAAACCCTAAACATAACTACATTAAGCTAAGAAGCTTCTGCACAGCAAAGGAAATAATTAACAAAGTAAAAAAGCAAACAACAGAATAGAAAACAATCTTTGCACACTACACATGAGACAAGGGGCTAAAATCCAGAATATACAAAGAACTCCAGGACAATCATAACAACAAACAAAAAAGTCAAGAAATGGGTAAGAGAAACGGGCAGACACTTTTCAAAGGAACAAATCCAAATGGCTAATAGGCATACGAAAAAATGCTCAAGATCCCTGGCAATAAGGGAAATTCAAATAAAAACAACACTGAGGTTTCATTTAACTCCAGTGAGAATGGCCCACATACAAAAAAAACTACCAATAACACCTATTGGCAAGGTTGCTCTATTGCTGGTGGGACTGCAGGTTGGTGCAGCCACTACGGATATCAGTATGGAGAATATTCAGGTAACTGAAAATCAATCTACCATATGACCCAACAACTGCACTTCTAGAAATGTATCCAAAAGACCTGATACATCAGAAAGCAACGTGCACCCCTATGTTCACTGCAGCACAATCAATAACCGCAAACACATGGAGTGACCTAAAAGCTCTTTAACAGAGAACTGGATAAAGAAACTGTGGTTCATCTACACTATGGAATACTACTTGGCTATTAAAAAAAATACAATTGCTTGTGGCCAAATGGGCTGAAGTGGAGACTATTATGTTAAGCAAAATGAGCCAACCCCAAAAGATCAGATATTATATGTTTGCTCTAATATAACAGCCATTAAAAACACAAAACAATAACAAAGTGAATAAACAAACACATATAACCCCACAATCAAAGGATGTAACAGAGAACAGAATTCCAGGAATCAAGGAAAATCAACAGAATGCATTTTTGCAAATGAATGCAGGTAAACATATATTTAATATATCTAACTGTAAGAGATTGTGCCTTGATGAGGCTCAATGCTAACATGGCTAGGGGAAGCTTTGTACATCATCTCAGGGAATGGCTCTTCCCTATTTCAACTTACCTGAGATTGGTATGTCCCTTTTATGACTGTAATTGCTATTGCCCATAAGTAACAATGATGTAGTCCTTACAGTACTCTCATTAGTGCCACATGGGACATAAGCTGGAATCTATTCCTACAGGAAGATTCTTGACACTCTTTTTCACCACCCTACTGTGACACTGATACCACATGTTCATTAACTTCATGTGGATGAAGGTCTACTATTTTTTCCTCCCTGTGGTGAACTGTGTACATTGGCTCTGTATTTAAAGGGATGCATAATGGAAGTGTAATGGAAATTAATATGTTCACAGGTGGAAACAGAGAAGTATGTCTCCACGCATGCAGTGCAACGATGGATGCACAGTGAAATGGCTGATAATGTCCTGACGTTGGACTCTCTGACATTGTCCTTGCCTACATTGTTGGGAAACATCTCAGTGGCAGCATGATGGACTTGTGAAAGTTCACAAAAAGACACCAACTGTAAAACTGGAGGGAAGATCAGTGGAGTGGTGAGAGAACTTGGGTGGAGGGGAGAGACCCTAGTGCCTATTAAACTGTATCATAAATCAAAATAACAAAACTTTTTAAATCCTAAACATACAGAAATTTAAAACAATAGGTAATACTGACTCTCATAATGAAAACATGAATTCTTATGAACAACATATTTCTAATAGATACAAACCAAAATGAAAAAGTGAAGAACAGGTGAGCTGAACACGAGAAATAACTTGGGAGCTGCAGATAAGGTTCTGACTTCAGAAATTGAAGGCAAAATGAAAAGTCATGTTTCCAAGAAGCTTAATGCACTCATTTCAAAGCATTTAGTGGAATAGAAAAAGAAAGAAAACCAGGAGCTAACTTCCCTCCCTCTTGGTCCCGAGGTAAACTACCCGACAGCGCAAAAGGCAGCCTCACCAGCATGCAGATATCCATGGGGAGAAACACCTTTCTTCTGCTGCCGTGGTAGGGCGTGGCTCGCAGGCAAGTGACAATTCCTTGCGCTTTTCCAATGTGACTTGCGGCGTGATCTGCATGAAGATCCTTTACACCTATGATTTTAGAGATCAGACAATGGGGCAATTCTCTTCAAGTGCACAGCAAATCAAAGGAAACCACAAAGAAATCATCTGTACCATATAAGAGGACATTTGTTTACCCTAAGCATTCTAGCTGAAAACCAGGAATGATGAGCGAAAAACTGGGCTGGAAGACATGTTGATCATTCACCTGAAATAATGGATTGCTGAACCTCAATATATATAATTTGAAAGGCATGATTCTTTTTTTTTTTTTAAAGATTTATTTTATTTTTATTGGAAAGGCGGATATACAAAGAGGAGAGACAGAGAAGAAGATCTTCTGTCCAATGATTCACTCCCCAAGTGAGCGCAACGGCCAATGCTATGCCGATCCGAAGCCAGGAGCCTCCCCGGGGTCTCCCATGTGGGTGCAGGGTCCCAAAGCTTTGGGCCATCCTCGACTGCTTTCCCAGGCCACAGGCAGGGAGCTGGATGGGAAGCGGGGCTGCCGGGATTAGAACCGGTGCCCATATGAGATTCCGGGCATGCAAGGCAAAGACCTTAACCACTGCGCCATCACACTGGGCCCAAAAGGCATCATTCTACAGAGAAGCAGAGAGAGAGAGGTCTTCCGTTTACTAGTTCACTACCCAAATGGCTACACTGGCTGAGATAGAGCTGATCCAAAGCCACCAGCCACGAGCTACTTCCAGATCTCTCACATCGGTACAGGACTTACACCATCCTCCACTGCTTACCCAGGCCATAAGCAGGGAGCTGGTTAGGAATTGGAGCAGCCTAGACTTGAACCAGCACCCAGATAGGATGCTGGCACCAAAGCATTGTCTTAACCTACTACTCCACAGCACAGGCCCCAAGTATTACTATTTCAAAACTGATGTGCATTTAAACTAAACCCAGGATCCAATCCAGGAGCCAGGAGCTTCTTTGATTTCTCTCACATAGGTGCAGGGACCCAAGGACGTGGGCCATCCTCTACTGCTCTCTGAGGCTGTAAGTATAGAGCTGAATGGGAAGTGAAGCACCCAGACTTGAATCAGTACTCAAATGGGATGTAAGCAATGCAAAGAAGAGAATTAGCCAGCTAGGCCACTATGTCAGCCCCAAATCTCAACCTTTTTAATAAAAGCGCTCCCCTTTAGGGGCTTGTGTTGTAGCATAGTGAGTTAAGTCACTTTCTTTGTACCAGTTCACACTCTAGATACTCCACTTCTGATCCACTCTCTGCTAATGGCCTGGGAAAGCAGTAGAGGACGACCCAAGTGCTTGGGTCCCTGCCATGCATGTAGAAGACATGGATAAAGCTCCTGGCTCCTGGCTTCAGCCTGGCCCAGCACTGATCACAGAAGCCATTTGGGGAGTGAGCCAGCAGATGGAAGGTCTTCCTCTGAATCTCTCTTCTCTCTGTAGCTCTTTCAAATAAAAGTAAATAAACTTAAAAAAAATAAAGAAAAGAAAAAAAGCATTTCTCTCCGATTATATCACACCAAGAATACATTTAGAATAATTTAATCAGCTATCATGGAAAAGCCTTGCATTTCAAGCCTTGCATTTCTTTTCCTTAGGATAGTGTCCACAAGGCCTCCCTCACAGTGTAGGCTTTGTAAACACTCCGCTCTTTGGTGCCACCTTTCATGGGCACAGCGGACATGTCACTAGCGGTGTGTGCAGACTAGGCTTGGGAAACATTACACACAGTTGCATTATTCCTGTAAGGTGACATAAAAACACATTATCTTCAAGTAAGATGATATGTACTGGGGTTGAATAGCTTCCTCATAAAAACTTTTGTGCAAGTTGTTTTATTCCTTCCACTTTAAAAACAAAACAAAACGGAAAAGAACACAGAGAGCATTACTGAAAGGAAAGGAAGAGTAAGGCTCCAAAACTTCCAAATTGTTAAGAAATGTAATGGAGTCAGCATGATGGTGTAGCACACTAACCATTCTTCTCTGGAGTCAACACCTCCAGAGATGTCTCTGGAGCCATTTTGGGTCCTGGCTATTCCACTACCAATCCAGCTCCCTGCAGATGGCCTGAGAAAGCAGCAGAGGATGGCTCAAGTCCTCAGCCTGCTGCATCCACTTGGGAGACCTGGAAGAAACTCCTGGCTACAGATCAGCTCATTTCTGGCCGTTGTGACCATTTGGGGAGGAAACCTACAGATGAAAAATGCTGTCCGTCTCTCCTTTTCTCTGAGATTCAAATAAAAGACACATAAATCTTTAAAAATAATAATAATAATGCCGGGGCTGCCACCCGAGTGTAGCAGGCAAAGCTTATGCTGTAGTGTCAGCATCCCAAATGAGCTCTGGTTGATATCCTAGTTGCTCCACTTCTTATCCTGCTCCCTGCTTGGGCCTGGGAAAGCAATACAAGATGGCCCAGGATCTTGGGACCCTGCATACATGTAGGAGACTTGGAGGGAGCTCCTGGCTCCTGGCTTCAGACCGGCTCAGTTCTGGCTGTTGCAGCCGATTTAGGGAGTGAATCAGCAGATGGAAGATCTCTCTCTGTGTCTCTCCCTCTCTTAACTTTCTGCCTTTCAAATAAAAAAAGAATTTTTTTAAGGTTTATTATTTATTTTTATTGGAAAGGCAGATATACAAAAAGGAGGAGAGACAGAGAGGAAGATCTTACGTATGGTGATTCACTTCCCAAGCGGCCACAACAGCTGGTGCTGCACCGATCCAAAGCCAGGAGCCAGGAGCTTCTTCTGGGTCTCCCACACGGGTGCAGGGTCCCAAGACTTTGGGCTGTCCTCGAATGCTTTCCCAGGCCATGAGCAGGGAGCTGGATGGGAAGCAGGGTTGCAGGGATTAGAACCGGCGCCTATATGGGATCCCAGTATGTTCAAGGTAAGGACTTTAACCACTACACTACGTGCCGGGCCTCAAATAAAAATTTTTAAATAATACTAAAAATTAAGCAAAAAGAAGTGATGTAGCAAAAAAAAAAAAAAAGTCATGTCACTCATAACCATGACATGGCTAACCACTGCATTCCCATGAGGTAACCAAAGTATTCTTTCCCGAGAAACTGAGGATTTGGATCAAAGAAAGACAGAAAGACGGAGTCTCTTCCTTATTAAACACAACCTTTTCCTCTACAAAGAAAAGCTTCAGTGCTAAATCTGTAAATGTCAGGTTCTGAAAGAGAGAAATCTGAAAAGTGTTTCACTGGAGAAACATGAGACAGAAAACTTACCCAACGTTTCCAGAATCAAATAAAGAAGAGCACTCTGGGTGTTTTCAGCATAGTTCTCTAGTTCCTGGATATTCCGATATGCTTTGTCATCCAAATTTTTTTCCTACAAAGTAGATGCATATAGTTTGCTAAACTCAACATTTTAAAAACAAAAGGCTTTTTCCCCCTTTTACTATTAAATAACAGTGACCAGCTTGTGGTTTAGTGGATTAAGCCACTACCCATGACAACAGCATCCCACATGTGTTCCAGCTGGGAGGCCAAGCTGCTCTACTTTGACCCAGCTTCAGGCTAATGGCCTGGGAAAGTAGCTGAAGATTGCCCATGTCCTTGGGCCCCCGCACCCACATGGGAGACCCAAAAGCTACTAGCTCCTGGCTCTGGCCTGACCAGATCCAACTGTTGTAACCATCTAGGGAGTGAACCAGCAGGGGGAAGAGCTTTCTTTCTGTAAAGTCTGCCTTTTAAATGAACAAATGAATATTTAAGGAGGGAAAAAAAGGAAATCTTGTACGAATTAAGTGGCCACTTTTCATTTCCTTCTTGTCAGCCTCAGCAAACTACTCATCTACTTTCTATGGTCATGGATTGGTGTATTCTGGGCATTTGATAATAAAACAGACCTGAATGGATTTCTAATTTCCAGGCTCCTGGCTTTGGCCTGCTCCAATCCTGTCTGCCGCAGCCATTAGAGGAGTGAACCAGTGATGAAGACCTCTCTCTCTGCCTCCCTGGCTATCTCTGTAACCTCTGTCTTTCAGATAAAGTAAGTTAGTCTTTAGGAAAGTAATAGAATAGGTAGCTTCTTGTGTCTCACTTCTTTCAATAGCATGCTTAAAAGTTCACCCACGTTTGAACAGCCATGGAGCACATCATTGTTTTAAATTGGACATACTGTGATTAACATCCACTGTACTGATATACCACATTTTGTCTAACCGTTAACAGACTATGACTCCTTCCTACTTAGTCTACTATGAACGGCACTCCTTGAAACATCCATGTAAGTTTTATAAGGACATATGCTTGCATTTCCCTTGGATATAAACCCAGGAGTGAAGCTGCTGCATAAAAGATAACTATGGACCTGGTGTGATAGCTCAACTGGCTAATCCTCCACCTCCAACTGCCAGGATCCCATATGGCAATAGTTTGTGTCCCAGCTGCTCCACTTCCCTCCCAGCTTCCTACTTGTAATGTGGGAAAGCAGTGAGGGACAGCCCAAAGCCTTGGGACCCTGCACTCACATGGGAGACCCAGAAGAAGCTCCTGGTTCCTGGCTTCAGATCGACTCAGCTCAGAATAAATAAAACTTTTTTTTAAGGTTAACTCTGTTTAAGTTTTTAAACAACTGTCAAATTGTTTTTAAAAAAGAAATCATACCATTTCATATTTCTAAAAGAAATGCATGAAGCACTTCAATTTCTCTACATTTTCACCAACCCAACTATTTTTCTTTTCTAAAAAAAAATGTTTTTAATTGCAGTAGCCCTAATGGCTGCAAAGTGTTATTTCATAGTTTTGATTTGCATTTCTCTAATAAAAAATATTGAGTATTTTTATTCAGCTACTTATAGGTCATTCTTCTGCCTTCTCTGGAGCAATATCTCAAATCTTTTGCCCATTTTAAGTTGGTTGTCTTTTTATTGCTGAATTGTAATCATTTCTTATATATTTTAGACATTAGTTTCTTAGTAGATATGCATTTGGCAAAGCTTTTCTCCCATTTTATAGATTTTAATCTTCTTGAAACTTTCGGTTTTTTCATTTGTTTGCTTTTGGTCTTTTATTAAAGACTTCTTTATTTTTATTGGAAAGGCAGATATACAGATTGAAAAGCAGAGACAGAGTAAGATCACCTATCTACCGGTTCACTCCCTAAATAGTTGCAACAGGGGAGCTAGGCTAATATTAAGCCAGGAACCAGAAGCTTCCTCTGAGTCTCCCACATGTGTGCAGGGTCCCAAAAACTTGGGCCATCCTCTGTTGCTTTCCTAGGTTGTAAGCAAGAGGCTGGATCAAAAATGGAGCAGCTGGACTAGAACCAGTGTCCATATGAGATACCGGTGCTTGAACATAAAGGATTAGTCTGTTTAGCCACCTGAAGCTTTTAATAGTGATGAAATCAAATTTTTCTTTTCCTACATGTGCCTTGTTATCCTATTCAAAAAACCATTACCTAAAAGCTTTGCTTTTGCAAAGCTGTTTGGACATTTACAACATCACTGACAGGCCAAACAAAGTTATCAACTTACAGCCTGCTACAGATTTACTGAATTCATCCTGCCCGCAGTTGCCTTGGCAGAGCCAGACCAAATGATTCCATGGGTCATATGTGTCAGATGTTCCCAACCCTGGAAAGTCACAAAGACCTATGCCTTTGCTTTCTCCTAAGGTTTTACAGTTTTGGCTCTTACCCTCAAATTTTTTTAACCTGACTTGAATTAATTTTTGTATATGGTGTGATGTAGGGTTTGAAATTCATTTCTTTGAATATATGTAACAGCTATTTTGGAAAAGACTATTTTCTATCCATTGATTTTCTTGACATCCCTACCTCTCAACAGACTCTAAGTATATGAGTTGATATCTGGACTCCCACTTCCATATACGTGTCCTGCACCAATATTGTAGTTAAGTTTCAAACTCAGGATATGTGAGTCCTCCAACTGTTTTAATCACTGTCAAGATTGTTTTAGCTGTTCTGTATCCCTTCTATTTCCACACGAGTTTTATGACCAATTTCTAAGTTTAAGCAATTCTGGAATTCTGATAGGGATCACATTTAATATATAGATCAATATTTGACTGCAGTCCTTTAATTTTAAATATCCCTTCCTTCAAATGTCAAATGTCAAATGTTATTTCTTATTTCTTATTTAACAAAATAAGTGTCTTCATTTTGAACTCTCTTATTTTGTTTACCTTGTAAAAAAGAAAACCAAAAAAATGCATATATTTCCTTGGTGCTAATTCAACCTGTAAGTCAACTGAGCAATTCTCTTTTAATAGTAAAGTCATTTCTACCTTTTTGTCTTACTAGGCATGATAGCCTATGATTATCAACAGATTATTTATGAATAGATTAAGTAACTTATAATTCAACAGTATGTGATACCAGCACAATGAGGATGCTGGCCTAGTACATTAGGAGGATTACACAAGTTAGGTAAGGCTACATAGCAACTTGCAGGCTTGGCTAGACCTGATTCTCTAACAGTTCTGTACAGAACTCTACTCATTGCAACTTGTCAAAATTTATTTCCTTTACTGTTTGGGTATAGGTCCAAATATTGGGATTACATTAAGGTATGTATATGATTGATATGATTAAGAAACTTTTAGTAATTTTTAAAGTCTTTATCTTTTAAGGTACTCATGTATTTGCAGATAAAAAATATATGGTATCTGAAATTCACTTTAAAATAATCCAATGGTGATCAGTGTGAAGAGAAGAAACAAGATGAAACAAGACTGGATGTGTGTTGGTAACAAAACATGAGTTTCAGACATATGAAAGTACAATACAGAATTTTTTACGCCTTTATATAAGTATAAACATTTGATTAAAAATTTCAAAATAATAGAGTGGGGTTGTAGTTGAGATGCTTCTGCCTTCCAAAATATAAACAGACATAAATAGGACATTTTTATCCTGAAGAATTAGCTTAAAGAATAAAATTAAAAGCTACTTGTGATTTAAACAATTTCAACTTACTCTTTCATCAATGATATTCATAAGCCATCTTTTAGTCAGATTATGTCTTTTGACAGCCTAAAAAAAGTATTGAAAAATTTTAGAAAATGCTAGAAATGATTTCTGAAGACCTAAACAAACAAAATACAAATTAAATTAGGGCACATTATAATCACTCATGAATAGACAGCTGTGTTGAAGAAATATAGAGAACATTTCCATATAAAGATTACATTTTTGGTATTTTTCCACCAATCTTTTGGTCCTTTTTCCCATTGTACACAAGTAATTTAATGGCTTCACTTTCAAATAAAAGCAAAGAATTAGATATTGAGTTACTCTATTGTGTAATCACGTTGACTCTTTTCATTTCACACGTTTTTAAAAATAATTATTTATGAGCCTCTCATCCAAGTACTCACCAGAGCCAACCCAGGAGACACAGAAGAAGCTCCTGGTACAGGTGCAGCCATTGCAACTATTTGGAGAGTAAACCAGTGGATAGTAGACCTTTCTCTCTGTCCCTCCTCTCTGTACTTCTGCCTTTCCAATAAAATAATCTTTAATAAAAATTGCTCTAAACACTACCTTTTTGTTTAAAATATTCGTTTTAACTTTTAACACTGATTACATTAAAAAGGTAGCTGATATTGATCAGAAAAAGTTAAGCAGCAATTAAAACTGGACAAACTTAAAACTCTAAATCAGCATATGTTCAAAGATTCTCTAATTCAGATGCGACTTCTGGTTAATAGAAATCAAGGAGAGAGGGGTTAGGGTTAATTTAGTTTATTCCTATCTTTCATTGCATTTCCTGACAAAAGCCATAGCCTTCAATGCAAGTGTTAACATAAATCTTCGGTATAGCCACATCTGTGTATAAAATAATAGAAAAACAGAGTTTATGGAATTTAGAGAAATTTTACAGTGAGTCATCTAGGTCAAGTTCTTAAAGTGCAGTAATGTTAAACCACTACTATCATACTCACAGCTTCGTCAAGTTTTTCAGTTCAGGCAGTCCCCAGCAGCAGGGGCAGGTTTGTGGCTTTGCACCTTTACTAGGGTGGTCTGTGAAGTCGATCTGACCCAGAAAATGCACCTGTCTCTGCTGGTATGCAGACCTGAGAAGAGGCGTGCCACTGTCAGGTCTATCTGAGGATGGCTCCTAGCACAGACACCCTCTCCTGGCACCCTTCACAATACACACTGGGCAGCAATCAGAGACAAAAGCTACCTAATTCCCTTTCTCCATTCATACTTTAGCACACTTCCAAACATGGACAGTTTTTGAATGAGACAGCATATAGCTGTTTTAATATAAAACCACTAATTATACACACCTAGCTATATACAAATAACACTCTTAACCTAGAGGTTTCCCTTCTTTAGTACCTAAAATTCAGCAACAAATAGGCAATTCTATTAAACTAGACAGGATAGCTTTAGATTTGTGTCTAGACAATGATGAGAACAAATCCACAAATATACACGCTGTTCTATAGCCCAGAGAGTCTTGATTAAAATACTGGTAGGACAAGCTACTGGGCAGACACAAAAGAAAATTTTACTTGCCATTGCATCAAAATAGACAAGGTGTAAATCTCACAACTTAATATGTAGAAAATAGGCAAGCAACATCATATAAAGAAATGAGTCTCCTCTTTTTCCTTTCATAAGGAAGTACATGGCAAGCCTGTACAAATTAACAGTGGATGACTTCAAATTCTTCTGTCTGAACAAACATAGATCTGACCATCCCATGAGCCTGAGAATAGTTTCAGAAAAGATTCACCATCATCACCATCCAAACTGAACCTATGACAAAGAAAACCTGGGGGAAGAGTTCAGTGAACTGAGTCATTAAGACATTGTCATCTCCCAAATCGAAGTCCCTGGTTTGGCTGCAAGCTCCAATGTGAGCTGGGAGGCAGCAATGAAAGTTCAAGGATGGGACCCTGTCTACCACACTGGAGGTCCAGACTGCATTTCCATTTCCTGCCTTTGGTGTTGGCCCAGTTCCAGGCAGCTGCTAGGTGTAGGCATTTGGGTGAACCAAGAGGGCTCTCTCTTACTTTCTCTCCTCGCTTGTTAAAAATCAAAGGATTGGGGGGGACTCCTAGCACTGTAGTTTAGCTTTTGTTTATTTACCTTCCACAGTTCAATGGCCACAGGTTGAGGTGGTGGATTGTCATGGTATATATCTTCAACAGTCTTTTTCCAGAACTGCATTCGCATCAGTCCAATTGCTTTCTCAGAGATTGAGTCCTTAACCTGTAAATAAGTTTTAAAAACTTTAGCAAATGCATTGTTCACAGTCTCAAAAAATTAGTATTTGTAAGGAATTAGTATTTTAAGGAAACAGGTCAATAGATCTGTTCTATAGCATGACTACATTTTTCAGAACCAAGAGAACTGTATACCACAGAGGATGCATTATACTATACATATTTTAAAATAAACTAAGTAATTTTTTGTTTTTAACTTTTTAATAATTTATCTTACCTATTTATTTGAGAGGCAGAGAGAGGTAAAGAAACAATGAGAGATTACTAACCCCCTACTGTCCCCCTAGCCAAATGCCCAGTCTGAGCAGGGCCAAACTCAAGTTAGGAATTCAACCTAAATCTCCCATGTGGGTAGGAGATTACATGTTTCTTAAATAAACAAATAAATAAGTGCTTTGTAATATTAACTGCATAATTTCATGGAAATCTCAGAAAAAGAAGTAAAAAACTCCAGAACAGCATTTCTAGAAATATTAAGTTCATCAGTTAGTTTTATTGTTGGCCTTATACTATTAGGCCCAAATAATTGCCAAGAAATCACCAGCAGAGACCTTAAACACACCTAACATACAAATTACAACTGTATCTATCTAATTTCAGAAATAAACACATTACAGCACAATCCTGCAAAGATTGTTTTAAGGTATTTTAATACCAGCCTGAGCCAGCTCCACATTGAAGGCCCTCAGTGCAAAAGCAGAACTTCGGGATTTTGCAGGGAGCAGCAGGGAGCAGAGATAACCTTCATAATCTCGTTTCCTACAACAGAAACAAATGAACAAAAAAAAAGTTACTTTTCACAAAAAAGATATTAACCAAAATTAACTGGGAGCTAGCACTGTGGCATAGGGTATGCCACATGGACACTGATTTGAGTTGTAACTGCTGTACTTCTGACCCAGCTCCCTACTAACAGACCTGGGAAAGCAATGGGTAACCCAAGTGCTTGGGTCCCTGCATCCACAGAAATTCCTGGCTCCGGGCGGGCTCCAGACCCACCCACCTTCAGCTACTGCAGCCCTTTGAGAAATTAACCAGCTGATGGAAGATTTCTGTCTCTTCCTCACCTTCTTCCTTCACTCTGTCTTTCAGATAAATGAATACATTTTCTAAAAGGTTAAATAAAGGACCCGATGCAGTAGTCTAGTAGCTAAACTCCTTGCCTTACATGTGCTGGTATCCCATACAAGCACAGGTTCATATCCCAGATGCTCCACCCTCCATCCAGTTCCCTGCTTATGACCTGGGAAAGCAGCTGAGGACAGCCCAAAGCCTTGGGACCCTGCACCCATGTGGGAGACCCAGAAGAAGCTCCTGCCTCCTGGCTTCAGATCAGCCCAGTCCTGGCCGTTGCAGGCACTTAGGGAGTGAACCCACAGATGGAAAATCCTTCTCTGTCTCTCCTTCTCTCTGTAAAATCTGCCTTTGCAATAAAAAAAAAAATAAACCTTAAAAAAAAAAAAGAACTGAAAATAATGAAGTTTCAGTTAAGAACAAGTCAACATTGATACCTATTTCACTACAATATGAAATTTATTTTACTTATGTAATATTTGTTTTATTTCAGAAATACTTTTTTTTTCTTCAGTATGCAAAGCAAAAGTTATTTAAAACAGAATGAGAGAGAGGTCTCCTGCTATAGTGACAGGAGAGGGCTACAAGGGAAGAAAGACCATTCAACTTTGGTTTTACTAACAACTCAAATAAGGTACAAAAGTAGAAATCAAGGTTAGAAAATTAATTCAAGCAAGTATTGGCAGTGAATTCACTGTCATTATTAACACTAAAGATATAAGCCTAAGACACAGATAACATAGATAGGGTTGTGTGTGTGTGTGTGTGTGTGTGTGCACTGTTTTCTAGAAGCATCTATTAGAAGAGTTTAGAAGCATGGATTCTCCTTATACTCACTAAATCAGTGAATACACCTAGCTCTTACATCTGGCTCCTAAAACCATTCTCCACTAAAGGAAATTATGGCTCCCTGGAATATCTTCTAGAGTAGAAAGTAAAGAAGCATTTGAGGAATAGAGAGAACTTATCAAAGGTAGAAACTGGCTTTCTAGACTGTAGCACAAAATAATATGATAGTTTGTAATAGGAGCTCTTACTAGCATAAGTAAATAAATAAATGGGAAGAGAATGAAAAAGTTGCCAATCAGTACAATGTCTCTTGATATGTTTCTTGACATGATATAATTTTTACAGATCATCATCTGATAACTATCAGATTCTGGCAAAAAAATCTTCCATAAATGCTTGAATTTTGAAATGCAAGAAAGTTAGAAACATGAAATTTACACAGTACTGAAGTTGTCTGCCCAAACTGTATTCATTACTAATTACTCTTCAATTTATAGAGCTTTGTGGAGGCATCACATACTTGCAGATCCATAGATTATCAGTAGGCAAACACCTAAGAAATTTCTGAATATGAATAAGTATAGGTGCTAACTTGAACTTTTTATCATCAAAAAAATATCAACTTTAAAATATGTAAAAAAATATTTTGATTCAGTGGGTTAAACCACCCCCTCAAATGCTGACATTTCAAATTATCTGCAGGTAGAATACTACCTGCTCTACTTTCAATCCAGCTCTAACTGGACTGGAAATCAGCTGATGATGGCCCAAATACTTAGGCCCTGTCCCTGCTACCCACAGGAAAAACCCCAAGTTCCCGGCTTCCACCTGGCCCGCTCAGCTCTCGTGATCATTTGGAAAGTGAATCAGCAGATGGAAGATGTCTCTCTCTTTGCCCTGCCTTTCAAATAAAGCCAGTACAACGTTTTAAAAGTGAATTTTACAGTTTTTTTTTTTTCAGAAAAAAAATTTTTTTTGAAAGCAACAAAGAGGGAGGCAGAGAGATCTTCCATCAGCTATTACACCTCTAAACCTCCACAGAATTTGTTCTGATCAGAACCAGGTAACCCTTAACCTGGTCTTCCATATAGATGGCAGGGAAGGCAGGGACCCCAAGTAGTTGGTCATCTGCTGCTGCCTTCCCACATACTGCCAGACAGCTGGACTGTAAGCAGAGTAGAAGGGCTTCCAAAAGGTTCTCCCATCGTGAGTGGCTTCACCCACTGCGCTGGCCCAGTCATGATTCCTGCTTTTGCTACCTAGCGTCTCAGATAAGGAACAAATAAGGCATCACATAAGGAACAAATAAGGCAGGGGAGGGAACACAATTTTGAAGAGGTGACTAAAAACACTGAAGTTTATGCGGCCTGTCACGTTTCACTAAAATTGTATTTTCAAACTCCAGTGTTATTCTCTTGATGAAATCTAGGGTAGGCAAGTTCTCCAATACTTCTCTCAGGAGTCTGGGCTCCAGAACTCTGAGACCTGAGACTACAGCTCACAAGGAAGGGTGCCAGGTCCGACGCCACCATCCCCCACACAGGATTAAGCAGAAACTCTCAAGTGCCACGCCTTCCTAGGGCTGTACACATGCCAACTAAACCGGACTTCATGCCTTTGGCTTCCAGACTATTCTAGGGAATCCCAGGCAAGTTCCCGAATCTATGTAAAACCGCATTTTCTTGCCTATTTAGTAAGTCAGTCATGACTTCTATGACTCTTTTTCAGTGCCAGACCTTATACTAACTTATGCTTTTTTATGTTTTCTTCCTCACGACCCTAAGTAGGAGATAATGAGAATGAAATAAATTAATTGTATTTGCATAGTGCCGGACCCACAGGACTGCTTTTGCCACTAAACTGTTGCTCGCCGTTATATAAACAAAAAGAAGCTAGGCATGCAAATAATGCTGAATCAGGTTAGGTCCCAGGCACAGTGATGGGCGAGAGCAGAACTAGGGGGGCATCTGCCACAATTTCGCGGTCCCCGTGCAGGTGCCAGTTGCCTCCTTTCCTCCTCCCGGCCGCACGCGCTCACCGCAGCAGCTCCAGGCAGTAGTGCTCAGAGCCTGCGGCGCCCGCTCCGCTGGCCACCGCCACGTTCCGCCCCGACACGGCTGGCCCGGGGAGTCGCCGCACGCGGGCGCCTAGATCTCGGGGTGACCGTCGGCGGCCCAGGCCAAGGCCACCGAGCCGCGAGGACACCCAGGCACAGCCCAGCCCGGAGGCCGCCATGACGCCGACGCCGCACGCCCTTCGACCCCGCGCCGGCCGCGCGTAGCCACGCCCTCGCAGGGCGCCGGGAAGGCCGCCTCACGGCGCTGGAGGGAAGCTTCTCTGGGAGGAGAGCCAGGTGTCGCTGTGGCGCTCAAAGACTTTGTGGATTTCAGGAAATATTTGCCGAAGTCGGACTAGGCTCTCTTGAGTTCTGTTTTGCTCCTGTCCATCCACAGACGATTCCAGATGGGTGTACGCTTCTGAGGCTGTCCTGTCTATCACATCCCCGGTCAGCGCGCAAAACCTTGCCCTGTTCCTCTTGACACCAACAATACCATCCCCAGAAGGATTGTCCCACACGTTGCTGAAAATGTCCTTTACCTGGATGCCCAGGTCTGGTGACCACTCGCCAACCAACCTGTGTTCTCAGACATCTGTGGAGGATCGCCTGCTTTTGGATATGCGTCCATCTTGCACCTCGGGGGAGGAACAACATAGTAAGCTGCTCTCACTACACTCAAATTCCCTGAGGTAAGGTCATTGTTTTGTTACCAGCTTTATCCCGAATGCCAGTCCCTTGAACATTGTAAGAAGCTATGCTTCTTTTATGCTCCATTCACATAAATCTTAAGTGCTCAGGTAAGATCTAGACGTTCGACCGGACAATTCTCCAAAATTCTGCTTGAGGAGACAGGTCCTCCAAGGTCCAGCCTGGAATTCGAAAGAGTGAAACCAGTGTAAACATAACCATCCAGAATGTCTACAATGCGCTGGTTCAGTCCCAAGAGGCCTCAACAGCCAGAGCTGAGCCGATCTGAAGCCAGGAGCCAGCAGTTTCTTCCAAGTCTCCCATATGAGTGGTAGACACCCAAACACTTGGGCCTCTTCAGCTGCTTTACCCAAGGCACATCAACAGGGAGCTGGATTCAAAGTAGAACAGCCAGTGCATGAACCAGTACCCGTATGGGATGCCGGTGTCACAGGCAGTGGCTTCACATGCTATGCAACATCACCAGTCCCTAAAACCAATTTCTTTTTAAGTTTTATTTATTTGAAAGGCAGAGTGACAGAGAGGGAAAGAGATCTTCCATGTACTAGTTCACTTACCAAATGGCTGCAATGGTTGGGCCAAGTCAAAACCAAAAACCTGGAACTCCATCCAGGTTTCTGACTCGAGTGGCAGGGGTCCAAGCACTTGGGCCATCATCAGCTGCCTTCCCAGGCATGTTAACAGGGAGCTAGATCCAAAGCGTAGCAGCCAAGACTCTGACACCCCACCTCACAAACAGCAGCTTAACACTATACCACAACGCCTGCTCCAAAACAAATATTTTTGAAATATACATCTTTACCCAATCAGAGCTATGATCAAGCTCAATACATAAGCCAACAACAACAGCAAACATTAACAGCATAAATGAGCACAGAAGTGTTATTGGAATCTTTAGTTGTGTTATTGGCTCACTGCTTTCTCTCAGTGTACATAACTCTGTGATGATTATAACCAATTCATTTGTGTAATTGTGATAGAAACAGTCACATTTCCTTGCAAGTTTTAACATAGCAATGTCCTTTGGTTGATTGCCGCTACATTTAAAGATTTTTGTCTTATTGTTCCAGTATATCAGACGTCATCTGATATTTTTTCATAGCTTTTTTAAAAGAAGCAAGTTCCATTCCTTATATTAAGAGTCTGACTAGCATGCCAGTTTTTATGTGACAACTTGTGTATCTGAAGAGTCTGAAAAAGTCTGTGCAGACCACAGATGGTTAGACTCCCTCTTCAAGTCCCTCCATGATCGACTGCTTTGTCCTCAGGCAATTTTACCTCCATACATGTTTTCTATTATATATACATGTATACATACATGCAAATAGATTATCAACAAGGAAATCTGGAAAAAGGAAAAAAGTCACACAAAGATATGTTATTCACATCATTATTGTTTGGTTTTGGAATTACTGCCATCCACTTTTCCTATGCATAGTCTGTTTGCTTATTTTTACATATTGCTTGTGTAGTGTTATTTGACTCACCTAATACTGTCATAAACATTTTCTTATGCTATTACTCACTCATTTGATAATTATCATGCCTCTCCTATGTGCCTACACTGGGTTAGTTGCTAGGAGGCCAGGATAAGTTCCATGTCCTCAATAAGTTTATTTTCCAGTGATAGAGAAGTAAGTTAAACAAATCAAACACATTAAACAAACATACTGTTATATAATTAACTAATCTGCACTAATAGAGGTGTAAGTTCAATGGCTCAAACAAAGGCACAGAAAAATAAAAGCAAACTAAACATTTATTTACCTCTCAGGCAGTACTTTTGTGATACTATTGCTATCATACTCATTTTCTTCTTTTTAAGATTTATTTATTTTTATTAGAAAAATAGATTTACAGAGAAGGAGATACAGAGGGAAAGATATTCATCCATTGGTTTATTCACCAAATGACTACAACAACCAGAGCTGAGCCAGTGCAAAGCCAGAAGCCAGGAGCTTCTTTTGTTTTTTTTTAAAGGTTTATTTTTATTTTTTTTATTGGAAAGGCAGATATACAGAGAGGAGAGACAGAGAGGAAGATCTTCCGTCCGATGATTCACTCCCCAAATGAGCGCAATGGCCGATGCTATGCCGATCTGAAACCAGGAGCCTCTTCCAGGTCTCCCACGCGCATTCAAGGCGAGGACTTTAACAATTGCGCCATTGTGCCGGGCCCGAGTCAGAAGCTTCTTCTGGGTCTCCCAAATGGGTACAGGGTCCCAAGGCTTTGTGTCTGCATTTCTTTCTAGGCCACAAGCAGGGAGCTAAATGGGAAGTGCAACAGCCAAGACACAAAGCAACACTCATGAGATGTCAGCACTTGCAAATGGAGAATTAGCCAATTGAGCCATTATACCAATCTCATTCTCCTAGTCTAAAACAGGAAAACAAGAAATAGAAAATAATTTGCATCAACATTAGTATAGAGATTGGGCCCGGCACAGTGGCCTAATGGCTAAATTTCTCACTCTGAACTGCTGGGATCCTATATGGGCACCAGTTCTAATTCTGGCAGCTCCACTTCCCATCCAGCTTCCTGCTTGTGGCCTGGGAAAGCAGTCAAGGATGGCCCAAAGCCTTGGGATCCTGCACCTGCGTGGGAGACCCAGAGGAAGTTCCTGGCTCCTGGCTTCAGACTGGTGTTGCACCGGCCACTGTGGCCAGTTGGGGAATGAATTATTTTTTTTAAAAAGATTTATTTTTTTTTAAAAGATTTATTTTTATGGCCCAGCGCGGTGGCGCAAGTGGTTAAGTCCTCACCTTGCACGCCCGGGATCCTATATGGGCGCTGGTTCTAATCCCGGCAGCCCCACTTCCCTTCCAGCTCCCTGCCTGTGGCCCGGGAAGGCAGTCGAGGACGGCCCAAAGCACTGGGACCCTGCACCCATGTGGGAGGCCCAGAAGAGGCTCCTGGCTTCGGAACGGCATAGCATCGGCCGTTGCACTCACTTGGGGAGTGAATCATCGGACAGAAGATCTTCCTCTCTGTCTCTCCTCTCTGTATATCCGCCTTTCCAATAAAACAAAATAATAAAAATAAATCTTTAAAAAAAAAAAAAAAGCTGGAAGCTGGAAGGGAAGTGGGGCTGCTGGGATAGAACCGGCGCCCATATGGAATCCAGGGCGTGCAAGGCAAGGACCTTAACCACTGCGCCACCGCGCCGGGCCCAGGAGTGAATTATTAGACAGAAGATCTTCCTCTCTGTTTCTCCCCTTCTCTGTAAATCTGACTTTGTAATTAAAAAAAAAAAAAAAACTTAAAAAAAAAAAAAAAGATTAGGGCCCGACAGAGTGGTCTAGCAGCTAAAGTCCTCACCTTGAATGCCCAGGATCCCATATGGGCTCTGGTTCTAATCCTTTAGCTCCACTTCCCATCCAGCTCCCTGCTTGTGGACTGGGAAAGCAGTCGAGGACAGCCCAAAGCTTTGGGACCCTGCACCCATGTGGGAGACCCGGAAGAAGTTCCTGGTTCCTGGCTTTGGACAGGCATAGCATCGGCCGTTGCACTCACTTGGGGGTGAATCATTGGACAGAAGATCTTCCTCTCTGTCTCTCCTTTCTTTATATCTGACTTTCCAATAAATAAATAAATCTTTTTTTTTAAAAGAAGATTAGTACATTGAGAGGTGTTTTTCCAGACTCTACTTACTTCATCTCTATATTTTATTTCCAGGCAAAGAATGAAAAAAATGTCCCATGCAAAGAATTATGTGTACACAAACCCTGAATCAATAAGAAGCAGAGTGCCACATAACGTAGCTGACACCGGAGGAGAGTAAATCACAAGACTAAGAAGGTAAGCACGGACCAAATGGTGTGGGGCTTTGTAAGCCAAGTTGAGATTTGGATGTTTTATTTTAAATGCATTAGGAAGCCATTGAAATGATTAAATCAGGGGCTTGACATAATCTGACTTAGAGTTGAAAAGAGAACTCCGGTTTCTGTATTGATAATAGTTTGGAGACAAGGAGACTGATTAGGAATTTACCACTGGAGACCAAAGTCATGGAAACTAGAACAGGTAGAACAGGCAGATGGAAAACATTGGATGGGTTTCTGGCATGTGTTAAGAGTAACCTCAACAGAAGTTGCTTATGCGCAGGAGGGATAGTGGAGAAGACCATCTGCTTCCTCCTGACTAAAGAGCCCCTTTGGTTTGTGTATCTAGTCTTTTCCTATCAAGAAGCATGGCACTATGCCCATCCCAGACGGACAGATGATTAATGAACTTAACCCTGGAATGCCACTTCCATCACCAGTGATAGGTCCAGTACAATGCATGTTTCCCTACTCTCGCCAATAAGACTTGAACAAATTCTTCTTCACTAATAAAGGATACAAAGTATAATATGAAATATTATTGCCCAAAAAGCTTAACATAAAGATAACTAATCTTCTAAACTTAACTTTAAGATCTCAAGAGGAACAAGGTAAATGGTACTATAAGGAAACAGATCAGAAAAAAATTCAAAAGAAAAATCCACTC